TTGGTCAGTGAAGGTGTTGATGGAGGATATAGCTGTGCATCTCTGGATGGGGAAGGCTTTAGTCCTATTGGTTGAAATAAGATTCTAGGAACTCCTTTATAAGGGCTGGCTCAGATGGCAGAAGCAAGTGCAAGCAGACAGTTCAAGTGCAGGCTTCTCCAGAATTAGTTACTAGGCTTTGTTTTTTAAAAAACAGCCAAATTAGCCACCAGGAGCCCTTTTTAGTAGGTATCTTTCACAGGGTCTACAGTATGTAAACATACGAAATGTATTAATTTCAGACATATCTGAAGGCTTTCTCGGGTAAGGTGTCCAATAAACAATAGCCCTTCCTAGGAAGCAACAGATTCTTATTTGAGAACAGAAACTACAGATTTAGGAACTAAGAAATATGTTCCAAATTAATTGAGAAAATGTTTATGAAAATACTTTATAAACTTAAAAGTTATATAAAAACAAGAACCTTCCAGAGGCAAGATTCTAGCATAGTCTCTGAAGCACAGTAGACTCTCAGATGTCTGTGGAGAGGAACCTTACAGATTCATGGGCCTTACTGGGCAAAAAATACCACAGTAACCTATGGTTAAGATAAAAACAATGTATTTCAGCAAATTCCTACAAAATCATCCTTTACCAATTAATGCTAAAATTAAAAGTCAATCCAATGTTTAGAGAATATCCACCTAATGTTTGACAAAAGCATACTCCTATAAAGAAAGAGCATTAACATCCCCTCAGAAGTTCCCTCATGTTTCCTCAGTTAAGCCCTATCATTCTTCTGATTATTGTTATTTATCTTCACCGAAGGTTATGTTTTCCAATCATTTTTAGAGAGATTGGAAGGAAGGGAGCGGGAGAGAGAGGGAGAAACATTGATGTGAGAGAGGCACATGGATTGGTTGCCTCCCACACATGCCCCATCTGTGGCCAGGGATGAACCTGCAATCTGGGTACATGCCCTTGACTGGGAATTGAACCTGCGACCCTTTGGTGTGTGGGCTGGTGCTCCATCCACTTATCACACCAGTCGGGACTCTTCTGAATTTTTTTCAACAGATTCGTTTAACCTTTTCTGGAATTTTATATAAATGAATTATGAAATAACCACTCTTTTCTGTTAAGGCTTTATTCACTTAGAATGTTTTTGGGATTCATCCATGTTTTTACAAATATCAGTAGTTCCCTACTGTTATATGTTGAATTGTATTTCATTGTATATATGAACCACAATTTCTTTATCCATTCTTCTGTTGATGGACACCTGCACTGTTCCCAATTTTTGTTTATTATAAATAATGATGGGTGACTGAAAGGCCCCATGACAGACAAACTGAATGTTATGGGGAGCATGCAAGGACAGGAACACTGGCCAGAGAAATTGGGGAACATTCTCAAGGCTAGTGGTGTTTGAGCAGGAAGAGATGGGCAGTAGGGTCTTGGCACAAACAGAATGGGGAATATAAGCTATATTGGGACTGATAAACTCTCTAAAGGGATGGTGGATATATGGGAAATTGCATGTAATAGAATTCATTAAGGCCAATGTATATTGTATTTGCAACTCGACTGCCTAGTGGAAGATGCGTCTAGAAAAACAGATTGGGATCCAGATGACACCGATTCCTGGATGGTATGCCAAGAAGTTTAAATATAGGTTTGGAGTGGAGAACCATAGAAGTTTTTGAGCTGGAAACATCTTGATCAGATTTCTGCTTTGGAAGAACATTGGAAGGAATGGTTGAAGAGGAAGGGAGACTGGAAAGAAGAGCGGGAGGAGAGACTGGCCAATTAGGATCCTGTTTTGAGTCTGGGGCAAGATAGGGAGGGCCCACAGTGGCAGTGGGTGAGGGAGGAGCTGGACTGGTGGTAGATAAAAATAAAATGGGTAGGACTGGAGGCTGTTTGGGGGTGGCACAGGGGAGGCTTTTATTAAGTTGGTGGAATGCCGGTATGTACCCTTGACTGGGAATCAAACCCCCAATCCTCCCTCTCCGGTCCTCTTGCCGACACACTAACCGCTGGGCCAAATTGTATGGCATGTGAATTGTCTCTCAATAAAGCTTCCATAACAACAAAACAAGAGGAAGAAAGGTGCAAGGGACTCTTGTTGTCCAAGGGACTCAAACTGGCTGTGGCAGCCGAGCTGGTGGCCCTCTGTCAGGCATGTCAAATAGCTAAAGATAAGAGGGTAAATATGTATACCGAGAGCTGTAGCAGCCACGTTGGGATGCTGTGAGAACAGAAGTTCATTGCCCATAACCTGGACACAGAGGCCCCAGTAGAAGAGACGACAGTTAGAAGGGATGTTTCCTGGGTCCTCACGCTGATCAGGCTGCTGAGGATGAAGTCCGAGGGCAGGGATTTCCTACGGCGCAGACGGACAATCATGGGGAGGCCCAAGGATTCCACCGCAGACGTGCTAGGCTTGTCTTCCTGGTCCACGCAGCCCTTCCGGTTCCAGTGGAGCCGCCGGGGGTGGGGTGGGGGGAGTGGCAGACACATTTGAAGCTGCCCTTGGTATTGACGCTGCCCTGGTCACAGCTCTCGTTCATGCTGTGCTCGTCCACATCTCCGCAGTGGGTTGGCCCAGAGAGCATGTAGCCGCGGTGACACAGGCACTGGAGCTGAGCTGCGTAGGGAGTTGGTGCAGATGTGGGTGCAGGTCCGCTCGAAGGGGGCACTCGTCATTGTCCTGGCACGTCTGCTTGTCGTCAGCAGCTTGGAGCCCTTCCGGCAGCCGCACTCGTAGCTGCCCACGGTGTTGCAGCAGAGGTGGTCGCAGCCCCTGTTGTTGATAGGACACTCGGTGATGTCTTTGCATGTCTTCCCGTCTAGCTGCAGCGTGAATCCAACAGGGCAGCTGCATCCCACACCAGTGGTTGTGTCCTTGCACATCCGGTCGCAGCCTCCATTGTTGACTGTACACGTCTTTTGGTTGCGGGTTCGGTCTGTGTCAGGGCGCGTACAGCAGGCAACTGATCAATGTTTCTCTTACATTGATGTTTCTCTCCTACTGTGCCATATTTGAACATTTAGCCAGAACAGCATTTAGAACTGTCCAAACCTTGAGACCCTTATCTTATCTAACAAGGGTCACCCATATGTATACTCTTTATCCAGATTCATCTATTGTTAACATATTGCACTATTTTTTTTTTTTGCTTTGTGTACACATACTCTCTCTCCCCACCCCCATCTGTATACAGCAGGTCCTCATCATTTTGTTCAATGTTTCATTATAATGTTGATGAGATGCCATTGGAATTTAACTCCTGTTTATATCAATTAGCCTATGGTAAAACTGGTTTCATTATACATCGGTTTGCTTAAACCTATGTAAGTGTGAGAGCTTACTGTACACACACACACTCTGTATTGTTCCCTCCCTTTCTCCTTTCTTTATATGTCATCCATTCACTCTGCTGCCATTTTCTTCTCTCTTGCAGGTTTGCTCTTATAGGTCCTTTTCTCCATCTCCCTGCCAATTCACCCCGCTCACCACCAATACTTTTTTTTTTTTTTTTTCTGAACCATTGGAGAGGAAATTGGATACATCATAGTCCTTAATACCCAAATACTCTAAATAAGGATATTGTCTGACATAACTGTAGTACAGTTACCAACCTCGGTAATTCAACATTGATCTAATATTTAACCTAGTGTTCATATTTATTTTGTTATTGTTGTTGTTGATATTTTTTCCATTGATTTTTAGAGAGATTGGAGGGGAGGGAAGGAGTGGGATAGGAGAAAGAGAGAGAGAGAGAGAGAGAAACATTGATATGAGAGAGAAAGAGAGAGAGAGAGACATTGATTGGTTGCCTCCCACATGCACCCTGACTGGGGCTGGGGATGGAATCGACAACCCAGGTATGTGCCCTTGACTGGGAATCAAATCCACAACCCTTTGGTTGGTGGGCTTATGATCTAACCACTGAACCACACTGGCCAGGACTGTTTTATTATTTGATCCAATATTATCTTTATAGCCTTCCCCCCTCCAGTTTAAGATTCAGTCTGTGATCTAGTCTAAGCTCCAGTCTATATGTTTTATCTAGCTTTGATGTCTCTTTAATTATATTTTTTAAGAACACCAGTCCCGCCCACACATATTTTTCATTTGGGTTTGTGTGATGTTTCTTTATGATTACATTCAGGTTGTATAGTCCTGACCAGAATACTACATAATTGGGTAGCCAGAGGGTTTTTATATGTTATGTTGTGAAATATTCACTTTTTAAGGAAGGCTTAAGTAGGAGAATGTTCAAAGTGGAATTACTTGATTTTTTTATGTTTTTCATAGATTGAGAGCCATAATAAAAATCTGTTTATGAGACCTGTTTAGAAGAGATGGGCCTTGCACTGGCCGTGTGGTCTCTGCTTTTATCAAGTTATATTTCAGGGAACATATTTGTTATGGAAAAATTGGGACATATAATCTGATTTCATTCAATGTCAAATCCTGTTGTGCTTTAAAAATGAAGCCAGGTTTAATTATAAAGTTAGCACCTTTTTGGCCAAGGAGAGAATTAGAGGAAGGTGCGGTGTGCCCTGTAAGTGTATTCAAATGCCTGAGCAGCATAACTGGCTCAGGATTTCTTCTGTTCCACTGTGTATCCGTTAGGTAGTCATGAAGGTGACAGTGCTGACCTTCTGATTTAATGTAACCAAGGCCATTATTTTGTTATAGTAGCTCTATCAAAATAGAGGCCAGGGGTTTTCTTTAAAAATGTGTTATTTAAGCACTAAGAACAACTTAGACTTGTATATATCTCTACACAAGCAACATGTAGAACTTTCTTCTAAATAAATTTGTCATGCGTAAACTTTTAGACTTCAGTTCATAATAAGGTGTTAACTTGCACACACAGGCAGCAGCCATCCATGTTGTCAACTGCTAGTTAAGTGTTAATAGAATTAAGAGTATTAAAATATTTTTATAGACTAGTCTTCCTGTTACTCTTAACACCTTTCACATGGTTCCACTGTTTGCATTTCAGTCGTACAACTACCAGCACAGGAGGAAAGAGGAAGCTGAGTCCCAGTCACGCAGAAGCTGGGTTGGAGGCCAGAGTATCGGGAGAGATTTCTGACCTTGAGCTTGAGCAGACAGATTTCTGTGCAGAATCCCTCCCCGAGGGAAGGAAAAAGACCAAGAAATGTAAACGAATGAAGAAGGATCTTTCTCCAGCAGGTTTGTATTGGCTCTTTCTAAAGTCCTAGAGTTGTGTGCTCGTCAGCGCTCTAGAAACACATATTTTGTAGGAGAAATGACAGCAGGGTTTCAGTCGGTGGCAAGGGCCTATGTAGTTTTCCACAAGACCAGATGTTTTTAGGACCAATTTAATTTAATTTGAGGAATCCCTTAAAAGCCCTGCTCTTGATAGAGGAGGCTTGGTGGGAGCCTCCTGGTTAAAGATGGTTAATCAGTTTTGGTATCTTTTCTCTTTCCTTCATGGTTTAGAGGTTTTGCTGGTGTATTTAACGTAGCCTCCGTATTTTAAATGTACATTTAAATTTGCACAGAGGCCTACTCCTACACATGCTATTTTCAGTAGCAGAGTTTTCACTGTTCCCACGAAAATCCAGGCAGCCTAGATTTCTCTCATAAGCAGAATTATATAAGGAGTAAAGGAAACAGGAAATTAGCACATGTTGAGAGCTTACTATGTGCTAGATGCTGTAGTAGGAGGCTTTTTCTCTCCTTATTTAATCTTATTCTCACAACAGCCCAGATACAGGGAATTGTCATCTTTGTTTTAGTAATGCAGGTGTCTGGGTTCAGGGAGGTAGAGAAACATATGCAGGTCCATGTAGCTGTTAGTAAGAAGCAGACCCAGAAGGTGAAGCCGAAACACAGGTCCTCTCTGTCACCTAGACGTGCTATGGAGGGTCCATGGCTTAACTCAGCCCTTTGTGCCCAGACCCTCTACAGGGCCAGAGTTCGAGGGAGGAAGGGGCTTGCTTGTCAGATCCGGCCATAACCTGGTGAAGCAGCAGTCACGGTAATGATAATTACAGCTGCTGCTGGCTGCGTGTTTGCCAAGGATCCAGCACGGCACCTAATGCTTAACAGAAATTCTTTCATGTAAATATCAGGTAGTCATCGTGGGCTGGTTTACAGTGAAGAAAACAGGCCTAAAGGATTACTGACTTGCCCAGGGTCATGGAGCCCTTAATTCTGTCCTATGTGCAAGCTGGTGCTTGTAAGCACAGTTATGTATTGTCTGCTTGGGATAAGAGGGCCACCAACCTAGCCACCATTATTCCCGTCCTTTACCTCTTACATCGTGGCAGTCCCCCTGGTCAGCAGAACCAACAACCAAATCGAAGGAAGGTCGTAAAGCAATGGAACATGATTCATACCCAAGCTGTGTTTCAGTTCATTGCTTTGTTTTGCATGTGGCCCAATCTAACTGTAGGGAGTTTTCTGAATCTCACTGATATTAATGAAATCAAAGAAGCAGCAAAGTGTTAAACAAGCTTTTCCTACATTATGCTGACCCTAACTTAACTAAAAACTTGAAGCTCTTATTTGAAGCCTGGATTGTGTATTTGAGCTGTCTCCTTTTACTTGTCTTCCTTTCCTTAAAAGAAGTATTAGAGCCCTGGCTGGTTTGGCTCAGCGGTTAGAGCATTGGCTCGCGAACCGAAGAGTCCCGGGTTTGGTTCCCGCTAAGGGCATGTACCTTGGTTGCAGTTTGTCCCTGGCCCCAGTTGGGGTCGTGTGGGTGGCAACCATTCATTGTGTCTCTGTCGCATGGATGTTTTTCTCTCTCTCTTCCTCTCCCTCTCTCATTCCTGCTCTATCTGAAGACAAATGCAAAAATCCTCAAATGAGGATTAAAAAAGAAGTATTGGAGAAGTTTTTGATCTGTAACATACTTAGTCTTCATCTGTGATACCTTGATACTGCTGCCAGTTATACCTGCTCAACATTTTTTTTTATCTTCACCCAAGGACATTTTTCCATTTTTGTTCAGACAGAGTGGGAAGGAGAGAGAGAGAGAGAGAGAGAGAGAGAGAGAGAGAGAGAGAGACATCGACGCGAAAGGGACACATCGAGGGGCCGCCACCCACACAACCAACTGGGCCGGGGACAAACTGCAACCGAGGTATGAGGTACGTGCCCTTAGCATGAACCAAACCCGGGCTTCTCCGGACCACAGGCCGACACTCTAACCGCTGAGCCAAATCGGCCAGGGCTCAACATTTTAAATAGTAAATGTTAGCATGACTTTTGGAGATCACTCTGAGCATGATTTGAGGAGATGGCCCCCCTCTTGTATTCCTTTTCTTCATGTCTCATTCTCTTTTTAACTTTTCAGCTTATTTGGGACAAGATTTCAGGGTTTTTTCCTTTTCTCTCAGCATAATCTTAAAGGTATTAAAATTAAAATACCCAATAATAGCCTGCATTAATAGATTAGCTCCTTTTATAACTTTTATCATTTTAAGTGCAAGCTTCATATGAGTTATTTGGGGGTTTGAATTTATAATACCATCATTAAAATAGTTTTTTTTTCTCTTTCATTGACAGTAAAGCTGTCATTGCTACAAGATGTGAGCTAAAAAAATGATAGATTTTGTACTTCATTGTCAGTCCTGCTAAAAAAGAGAGAGGGGGAGGGAGGGAGGGAGACAGGAAAGGAGAGAGAGAGAAACATCTTGACAAATTTTAATTGAACCAGAGAACTTGAGAGAATTGAGCTTTGTTCTGGAGTACCACTCACCGAGCAAGACCTTCCAGCAGTGCCAGGGTAGAAGTTTAATGGATCCCTTTCCACTGGCTTGTTGTAAGCATTTAGTCCTAGTAATATTAGCAGGATGTAAGTCAAGAGATCACGTGCTGAAGCTGTTGAATCAACCAACTTTGATTGCTTGGTTACTTTAATATGGTCCTTTAATAGTGAGAGTACCACATTCAGCCCCTGTGAAGGGTCTGTATTCAATTCTCATGTTCCAGAGCTGTGAGGGTCTAATTTGGGTATTGGCTGTAACTGTATTAGTGTTTGGTACAGTGAAGGAAAGTCTGTCTTACAGAGACAGTTAGGGCATCAGGTCTGAGCTTTTCTGAGAGTATCTGGACAGGCACTCAGGGGATTCACAAAGGTGTGCTGGGTGCCCAGCTCTGTCAGTGAGGGCATGAAAAACATAAAGGACTGCTTCATCAATAGCGAATTTTCTCTTTTCCAAGGAGGATGTAGCAAAAAGTAAGACTATAGAATGTCCTGTACCATGGCAATCCTGGGACAAAGGATGCTCAATAAACCTCACACAAAATAGTGCCATTTTCCTTAGTTATACCTTTTAATATGTATCTAAGGTACATGAAGATTTAAGTATTAAACCTCTTTCTAGATAAGAAAATGACCCAAGTTACCATTCAAGTTTAAATAATATACCAGACATTATACTAAGAACATCCTTTGTCACCTTATTTAGCCCTTATAAAAACCCGATAAGGTATACATATTCAGTTTCTACAGGAAACCAAGGCTCAAAGAGTTATCAACTGGCCAGGTCAAATATAGGTGGGGGGTGGGGGCTGTCTGATCTAGAGCTCACACCTTGTACCAGAGGAAGCAAAGGGCTCTTTATGTCCATAGGTGGATATTTCTGGCAGCTGTTCTGGATCAGACATAATTACCAACCTGGAATTTCGTTTTATGTATTTATTTTTTTAATCCTCACCCAAGGATATTTTTCTGTTTATCTTCAGATAGAGTGGGAGGGAGAGGGAAAGAGAGAGAAACATCGACTGGTTGCCTCCGACACGACCCCGACCAGGGCTGAGGACAAACTGCAACCGAGGTACGTGCCCTTGGCCAGAATCAAACCCGCAATTCATTGGTCCTTGGGCTGATGTTCTACCGCTGAGCCAAACAGGTCAGGGCCCAACCTGGAATTTCAAATGATGAAGTCATGTGATAAAAATCCAAGCAACCACTCCCCTTTGGAGCTTCTATTTTATGTACATATTATATACTTAGTAAATATTTTTCTTAGGCTTTGCTGTTTCTATCCTGTTTTCAGGAAGCAAATGTATAATGTAAGTCCCCTCCTCTATACTATGATTAGTATAGATTGGTAGTGCTAGCTACTTTTCCTCTGAGGAAGTCAAGGAACATGAAGGAAAACAATTCTGTATGTCATTTATGCTGGAATAAACTGTCTCTGGGAAATCTTCCCCAGGCAGCGTTGGATGGGTGAGCTTCCATGGCACACTTGTTCTTGCTAAGTGAAGGGTGTCCCCAGGGCCTGTAGAAACCCCAGCCTCGCCTGCAGGCCAGCAGGAATGGCCTGACACTGAGCAGACTAGCTGCTGTCAGAATACTGATGGACTGTCCAACAGCTGGACGGTCAGCACCCTGTTAGACCCCGTGGCGGAGGAACGCCAAGAGACATCGACCATTCCTATTGACTGTTTTGTCATATGATGGAGATGTTGCTCCAAGTCTTTCTCCCCCTTGCATTTAAAACACAATACATTAGACCTTTAACTGTTTGCCAAGAACCTTGAGTTTCACTGGAGTATTGACTAATCTGAACTTTTCAAGCTCAAACCCTCAGGGTTACAATATAAAAATGTGGAATCTCCTTAGAGCAGCAGTCTTCTCCTGCTATTACAGATCTCCTTGGAGTCAGCAACGAGATCTGTAGTTGCTGCTGATGGTCACCTGAGCCAATCAGGCTAGGAAAGTCCAGCGACCTCCCAAGGAACTTTTTAATTACTCAGAGTGTGGTTTCCAGCCTAAATGTGGGAAGTAAGGAGTGTGCTGTGGAGCAGTTTGCTCAGTGCACGTTTGTGCTCTTCCTATCCCCCTCCTGGCAACCCTCTAGGGCCCCCAGAAGCCATCCAAGGGCAGCTCTGCCTACTGGGTGTGGGAAACCACCCCGTTACCAGGCCCTTTGGAGCATTTTCTAGTTAAAAAGTTTATATGGCACCCCAAAGGATCTTTGCAAATCAAGAATTCCGCTCTTATAGAAAATTATATGGTGGCCTACTTCTTGTGTACTGTGTAGGTTTTAGATACTGTTTTGGATTCACCTAAGGGAAGAGATGTCTTACCTCTCAGAGTTCCTTCCTCTCCACTCTAGTTAGTTGAAAGGTAAATAAGTAGAAACAACCGATTGTGTTGACCACTTTTTGATTTCTTTTGTTGTTTTTGATAATTTGCTCACTATGAAGATCAGCAAAGTGAAGAAAAATAGAGAGTAACTTGACACCCTGTTAATGTGTTTTACTCAGTCTGTCATTTTTATACATCATTGGCATCATACTCTATGCAATTTAGTATCCTGTTTATTCTCTATTAAAAAACGAAACAAAAGCCCAGCCGGTGTGGCTCAGTGGTTGAGCATTGACCCGTGCACCAAGAGGTCGCCAGTTCAATTCCCTATCAGGGCACATGCCCAGGTTGTGGGCCTGATCCCCATTAGGGGGACATGCAGGAGGCAGCCAGTCGATGTTCTCTCTCATCGATGTTTCTATCTCTCTCTCTCTTTCTCTCCCTTCCTCTCTCTCAAAAATCAATAAAGAAAAAAAAATTTAAAAAAATTCTTGGCCAACTAATTTTAATTATCAGCATAATATTTTATATTAAAATTTTGTTGGATTTTTAAAACAACATACAATATCTTTTGCAGGAAAGCTTTGTTAAGATATAATTTATGTACAATACAAGTCATCACTTTTAGGTGTACAATTTGATGAGTTTTGATAAATGTGTACATTCATTTAACAACCATCGTGATCAAGATATAGACGATGTCTTTCATTCCAGAAGATTCCCTCATGCTCCTTGTAGTCAGTCCCTGCCCCCACCCCTAGGTCCTGGCAACCACTGATATGCTTTCTATCACTGTAATTTTGCCTTTTTCAGAATATGGAAATAGAACCATACAATAGGTCACCTTTGAGTCTTTCATTTAGTATAATATATTTGAGATTTATTTGTGTTGTATGTATTCATAGTTCATCCCTTTATGGACATTTTACTATTTATTTATCCACTTTACTAGCTGGCATTTAGATTGGAACCACTTTTCAGCTACTAAGAATTAAGCTGCTATAAACATTTAGGTACAGGTATTTAAATGAACTAAATTTTCATTTCTTTGGGGTAAATACCTAGGAGTGGAATTGCTGGGTCATGTGGTAAGCGTTTGACTTCATAAGAAACTGACACCATTTGCATTCCGCCCAGCAGGGTAGGTTCCAGTGGCTCTGTACGTTGGCAAGAATTGGCCTTGTCCTTTTTTAGCCATTCTGATGGGTATGTAGTGGTATCTCATTGCTGCTTTGATTTGAATGTCCCTAATGACTAAGTGATGTTAAGTATCTCTCTATGTGATTATTTGCCATCCATATCTCTCCTTTGGTGAAATGTCTGTTCATATCTTGTGCCCAGTTTTTCCCAATGGGTTGTTTGTTTTCTTCTTATTGAGTTTTGAGAGTTCCTTATATATTCTGGATGTAAGTTCTTTTGGGTGTTTTGCAAAAATTTTCCAAACTGTGCTTTTCTTTTAATTCTCTTTTTAATGTCTTATGCGTACTTTACAGCGTTCTTTGATTTCCACATCTAAAATTTTTTTAAAAATTTTTTAATTAAAGTTGAAATACAATATATTAGTTTCAGATGTTCAGCATAGTCATTAGACATTTATATTACTTACAAAGTGATCACTCCAGTAAGTCTAACACCCATCTTTTCATTCTCTTAACAGTATTTTTCAAGTAGTAGAAGCTTTAAATTTTAGCAAAATCTAATTTATCAAATTTTTTTTGTTGCATTATGCCTTTGGTGTCATATTTAAGAAATCTTTGCTTAACTCAAGATTGCAAAGATTTGCTCCTGTTTTCTTCTAGAACTTTTATAGTTTTCAGTTTTACATTTAGGTATACAGTCATTTTTAATTCATCTCTGTGTATGATGCAGGGTTTGGATTGAGATATGTCATAGCAGGAGGCAGATATCCTTAAATGTCTGTTTTAAAAAAGAAAAATTATTCCTGGATAATTCTTTGCACTCTAGTAAAACAGGGCTGTAAAAATGAGTTCCCTGGAAAACTGACTGTAGCTCCTGACCCACTAGCTTTGACACAGTCTACAGTGCTCCCTTTCCGTAAAGTCTAGAAAGAACACCAGCAGTGACCTGCAGCTCCCCTCTGCCTGGGTCTCCGTTAGGGTTCCTAAAGTTCTGGCTCCTCTATACACATTCTTGCTCAGCAGCTGTACATCTTAGGCAGTGAAAATCTCTGAGTGCAGGCTGTTGGCTTCCTGGGGAACAGCCATGCTCAGTGTTGGGCCACCTTATTGAAAGGGGGAAGGACCTAACGTGCATGGAAAGCTTCCTCTGTGCTGGGAACTTTGCTGTCTCCCAGAATCCTATGTGACATCAAGTAGTAGTGAGTCAGTCCATCTCACAAATGTGGTAATGAGAGTTGTTAAAAGTCATCCAGCTAATAAAGTGGTCAAGCCAGACTTGCCCAGCTCCAGAGCTCTTTCCCTTATTTCTCACTAGCTCTTCAGAGTCACTTCCTGTGTATAGGGCGGCGTGCCACCGAACTCACATCTTTTCCCATCCAACTAACAGCAGGTGCGAGTATAAGGATGACAGTGCCTTTGCTTTTGGCCCTTTATCGTTTTTTCCCCGGTTGGTTAGTTTTAATTTATTTTAGTTCCCCACACTTGGCATTGTGCCCTTTACCTTTATAATGGATAATTGGCTGCTATTTCTTTTATATGAATTATTAAAATGCCCTTATTGATGTTTATTGTCCTCCCTTCCAATAGGTACTATTTGAATGTGTGAGCAAGGTCAGGCTAGTTACATCTTTCATGGGCCATTTGCAGTATTTAGTTTTTCCAGGGAGGGTAGTGTTTCTGGGTCTGTTTTTTTGTTGTTGTTTTTTTTTTAATTCCTTTTATAACTGGATTGTGTGAATCTTTTTCATGTGGGTTATCTCCAGCCCATCTTTACTCCTCAGAAGGAGTCTTGCAGTCTTTTTTTTTCCTTTATTGATTTTAGAGAGAGAGGAAGGGAGAGAGGGAGAGGGAGGGAGAGATAGAAACATCGATGAGCAAGAACATTGATTGGCCACCTCCTGTATGCCCCCCCACTGGGGATTTGGCCCACAACCTGGGCATGTGCCCTGACCAGGAAATGAACTGGCGTCGGTGCATGGGTCAACGCCCAACCACTGAGCCACACTGGCCAGGCAAGTCTTTCAGTCTTTATTGGGAGTCCCAAGACTCGCATGTTCAACACAATGATGAAAACTTCAAAGTACCCCTCTCCTGGTCTGCTCATCCTGTCTCTCCAGATTTTATCTCTATAAGTGATCAGAGGTGGGACTTCTCATTTTAGCTGAAATCCTCCATTTTATTTCCGGTGTTTAGATCTCATTACCTTTAGGCATTCCTGTCATTGACAGTAGCCAGGCTCAGCTGAGCGATTTCCTACTTTGTGGGACACTGAACCCTATCCCTTTTTACGAGTTACTCTCCATTTTGGGCATCATCAAAGACCTCTTCCCTTTTGAAATCTTGGCGTGTTAGCAGCTGGGGTTGGCTCTGCCCATTTTCCCTGCCAGCCCTGCAGTTATGGCCTAAATAAGGCATGACACCAGTGGTGCAGGAGCGCCTGGCTGGCTGCACTTTCCATTACGAACATGCCTTTTCCTGATTTAGTTCCCATTGGCTCAGCTCCGGACATCGGTGCTCTGGGCCCTGACACATCCGTGCTGTTGCTGTCACAGAAAGTGGCGCGGGTGGAAAAGAAGGGCTTCTAACCTTGGGGTGAAGCTGTTTGTAATGGAATTGGTCCCTGCAGTCCAAGAAGACCTTAGCCAATGTTGCTGGGATTGGAAAAAGCTTCAAGCTTCTTTTCCCTTTTTTGGGATCTCTGAACCCCCACTGGTCAGCTTCCCTCCACTCTGTAGCCACCAGACCCTGAGATTTCTCATCCCAGTGCCTGTACACCACAGAACAGAAAACGAGCCTTCTGGGACTGTGGCGGGGCTTAGTGCTGTGGAAGGATCCACACTCCATCTTAGCCACTCAGCCTCTCTGAACCTCTTCTTGCATCTGTAAAATGGTGATATTTATACCATCGTGCGGGGCTCTTCTGAAGTGTAAATGAACTAAGTGCCCAGCGTGGTGGCTAGCAAAGACCATGGCGTGTGTGCTACCGGGAGATGTCGTAAGTGTCTGCATGTTAACTCCTGTAAAATGAACAGAGGCATCTGCATGGGGAGGGAGGCACCTCATCAGTCCTACCTGTGATGCGTCGTCTGTGGTGTGGCTCCGTTTGCTGGATTCTGCTCTCATGGACAAGAACTGCCTGGGGACTGTTTCCCATATGACCGTGCAGCTGCCCTGCCCGTGCTGGTGGTTCTTTCTCCTCCAGGTGCTGCCCTCTCCCTGTTCATCTTGTTTTGTCCTTTCCCACCAGGAAGCATCTCGGACAGCTCTGCCAAGCTCTTTGAAGTTCCTGACACGTGGTAACCAAGACCCGAGAGAAATAAGTCGCGGCTGCTGTCGCTGGGAAAGAACCGGCCAGCACATTGGAAGCCATACTGTATTTAATAAGTGCAGTGTGGGAGGGGTTTGAAAACACGTGTGTCTCCTGAAGGAAACTCAGCTTTTATTTTTGTGGCTGTTTTTACCCCTTCCTTTTTAATGTAAAGTGTCTGCTGACAGCACAGCTGTAGGCTGTCGTGAAGGTGTACGTTATTAACCAGTTGTTTGTTGCTAATGTGAAACCTTTCCTCTCATGAATTAGTGTGTGTAAGAATCCACCTGGGGGGCGGTGTCAGCTGTGAAATATGCAGAAAGAGCTAACATTCTTGGGTGCGGTGATCACGAGTTTGGGGTTGAACTCTTTCCTGCTTCCAGAGGTTTCAGCGTCTCCTCACACTCAGATTCCAGGCAGTTGTAGCACGTGGTCACTATCTCCCAGCGGAGAAATCGGTTATGTCTGCTCACCACCTTAGCTGCCTGAAAATATGAAGCTTTCAAGCTTATTTTTCCAGTAGGAGAATCTCCACCAATAAAGGAGCTTACCTTATGCCTTTGCCTTGGGGCATATTTATTTAGAGTTATTTTTCCTAAGATGTGAGTTTCTTGTCCTGGGACAAGTGAAAAAGTCCATTTCTGTTTTTACATGCAGTGCTGTGTTCACCTGTCAGCGTCTTAGCGAGGCTGTCTCCTCTCCTGGTCCAGGTGGCGTCCGGGAGTAAGGCGGCATGTGTGCGTACATGTGCGTGCCCGTGTGTGAAACCGTGGCGGAGCTGCGTGTGCCAGCCCTTTCTCTGTGGAAGCAGATCCCAACAACGGCAGAGTTTTGTAGATCTGCTTCAATAGAGCTGCTTCATAGATCATTGTTAGATATATAACATTTTTTTATCTTGGAAATAAAAATGAAAAATGTATTTCCAAAAAGTGAAAATTAAAGACATTTTCATAGGATTCTGGTTTTCTTTCTTTCTTCTTTCTTTCTTTCCTCTGGGAAGTCACTGGAGCGTCTTTGTTTTCTGACTCCTATACCTGTCTGGGTGAGTCAGATCCTGGTGCTGGAGCTGAGCCTGTGGGAAAGGGCTGTGTGGGAAGGTCTGCATCTTTTCCATGGTGGGAGGAGTCTGAGCCCTCACCACTCTGATGGGAATCTGCAAACGCAGGCGTTCAGGGAATTCAGATTTGTAAGACACTTTCCCCAATGAAGAGCCTCCTAACACTTCCCATTCTGTGTCCCCGCCCTCCTGGGAGTGATAGCCACAAGGTTGTAGACCCACACTTGGGGCCCCTTCTGAGCTGTCTGCTCACAGCTCAATGGGGAACCTGAAGCGAGAGAGAAAACAAACAGTACGGAGACACCGGGGCTTGGCGAGTGCTGCTGGGCTCTGCCGTGCTGTTGAAATTTACAGGGAACACAGGTCCTACCGACACTTCTTTTTAAACTGGTGAACAGGAGGGAAAACCTACCGAAGACCCATCTAAGACTGATCTACGAAGACGTACATGTGAGAAGTACAAATGACCTAATGAGGGCGCCTTGCCCGGAAATGCAGATGGAGTGGTGATCTCACAACCCCAGGTCTTCAGTGGGAGGGAGATGGGCCTCTTGCCCTAAGGAAACGAAATTCATTGTTCTCCGAAGCCCACTGCTTCCTGCTCAAAAACCTTTGCAGACTCAGAGGTTGTACTCCTGTCAATACTGGTCCAGAGAGGGGCTTGGTGAGGGGTGCTTTCTAGAAAGAACCTCCAGAGAGTCTGTTTCAGCTCCAGCTCTGTTTTTTTGGACACATAGTTTACCCTCTCTGAGCCTCAGTTTCCTCAATCATAAAATTAGGATAATAAACCTACCTTACAGGGTGGCTGCGAGAATGAAATGAGATTTATGTAAAATGCCAGGCATACACAGTACACAATAAATTGTAGTAATAGCTGAAGATTACACTTTTGACCTGGAACCCTTATTGTGTCTGCTTCTGTCAACTGGAGCCGATGGAGGTATGGTCACATGGAATTTGGCCTATACTTAGATACCCATTGAAGCTCATGCCCGCCCTGGCTTCTATTTTCCCAACTGCAGCAAATGACTTAAACGGGTGAACTGGGTTGGCCCTTTTCCCCCTCCATACATACTGAATAGGCTTTCTTGTTGTCTCTTTGTTGCTTTGGCTTTTTGATAGTGAGGCCCAGGGCATATTACGATGATGGGGTTGTGGTTTGGGGGTTTCTGGAAGACTGACCAAATCTAGGGCAGGCCTGGGAGTGGGGCCCTCAGTGTCTCCCTGCAAAGAGTTTTGTAGTTCTCTGATTTCAGAGCTGGGGTGGGGACTTAGCACCGCAGCTCTGTCCGTTTTTACAGCTTTGTATTTGTCCTCTTTGCCCCCAACATTTTATTTGTGAAAATTTTCAAACGTACAGAGAAGTTGAAAGAATTGTTCAGTGAACACTTATTTACTCACCACCTAGATTGTACAGTTACCGTTTTGCTGTTTGTGTTATATAACCATTTGGCCATCCTTCTCTCCAGCCATCAATTCATCATTTCTAACTTGCAAACATCAATACACTCCCCCTCTCAAATACTTCAGCATGCTTGTCACTGGTCAGAGTTTAATACTTGTTTATATTTGGGGATCAATGGGGATATAATTTACAATGAAATGCTCAAATCTTAAGTGTACCATTAGCCTTAAAAATTAAAGGGCCCTGGTCAGTTTTGCTCAGTGGTTAGAGCATTCGCCCACAGACCAGAGTCCTGGGTCCGCTAAAGGCCACGTACCTCGGTTGCAGTTTGTCCCCAGCCCCGGTTGGGGTCGTGTGGGTGGCAGCCAGTCGATGTGTCTCTCTCACATCGATGTTTCTCCCCCCCCCCCTTCTCCCTCCCTTCTATCTGAAGATAAATGCAAAAATGTCTCCGGGTGAGGATAAAAAAATAAAAAATAAAGGTTATAGAGCAGCAAATGAATTTATTTGTGAATAATAGAGGAATCGCACTTCAGGACAAGCAAATTATGGCGAACCATGGGCAAGTCTGGAGAAGAAAGAAGAGCCTTCTTTTGTAAAGGAAAGGAATTTGGGAGGGGTTGTTTTGAACCAACTCTCCTGGAAGGAAAGGAGAGGAAGCAGGGGCAGCCCCTCACCGGTGGCAGGCAGGAGCAGCTTGCCGGTCCGGCTGGGGGTGTCTTCCTTCTGCTGAACCACTCAGGTTTCGATGAGTGCGTGTGAGATGCTTGCCCTTCATGACTTTCCGACCCTTTTCTTTAATCCTCACCCAAAGATATGTTTTTATTGATTTTAGAGAGGAAGGGGGAGAGAGAAACATCGATCGGTTGCCTCCCATAAGCACCCCAAGGGGATTGAACCCATAACCTAGGTATGTGCTCTGACCAGGAATCGAACCAACCACCTTTTGGTGTATAGGACGACACTCCAGCCAACCAAGACACCTGGCCAGGGCTCCAGCTCAATTTTGAATGAGGCTTCCTTTATTCATTTTCACTGTCAAGATACAGAACATTACTATCACCCCCAGAATACTCCTGAATGCTTCTTCCAAGTCAGCCCCTACCCCACACCCACTCCCAGAGACAACCACCAGTCTGAATTGTTTAATCACAGATTAGTTTGACTTTTTCTAGGATTTCATGAAAATAGACTCACTCTCTAGTGTGAGGCCTCCTTCACTGAGCATGATGTTTCTGAGATTCTTCCATGTTGCTACATGTATCAGTAATTCCTTTTGATGGCTGAGTGTGCACCTACCACCGTGTGTTTTATTCATTCTCCAGTGGCTGGACACTGGGGCTCTTTCCAGTTAGGGGCTTTTATGAGTCAGGCTGCTGTGAACATCCTAGTACAAGTCTTTTGAGAACTAAAGCTTTCCATTTGGAGGGTAACTAATAAGGAGTGGAATTGCTGGGATATTGGGATAGATAACATGGGATAGATGGGATAGATACATGTTTAGTTTTATAAGAAACTTCCAATTTCTTTTCCCAAAGTGGTTGTATCATTTTATCCCTTCATCCACAATGTATGAGAGTTCCAGTAGCTCCCATCCTTGGCAACATTTGGTGGTGTTCAGCCATCCTGGTGGGTGGATCGTGTATCTCAGCAGTTTTCCTTTGCAGTTCTTTGATGACTAATGATGATGTTCATATTGGCCATTCGGTATAATCCTCTGTGAAGTATCTGTTCAGTTTGCTTGTCTATATTGGGTTGTTTGTGTCTCTGTTAGTAAGTTGTAGGCATTCATTATATATTCTGGACATCAGTCCTTTGTCATAGTTGTTTTGAAAATTTTTAGTTCCACTCTGGCTTGTTTCTTGTCTTTTGTCTTTTTAATTTTTTTCCAGGCTAACTAAGATACAACTGACATAGAACATTGTCAGATGGACAACGTAATGACTTGGATGACTTGATCAACCCATACCCCTATCTCCAAAGGATCACTACCACAGCACCAGCCAACACCACCATCACATCACATATCACCATTTCCTTGTTGTGGTGAGAGAATATTCATGGTCCACTCTCCTAGCAACTTTTTTTTACAATACCCTCTGCTGGGCAGAAGTTTTTAATTTTAATGAAATCTACGTTGTCGATTTTTTTTCTTTCTATGTCCCCCAAGTTGAAAAGATACTGTTTCATATTTCTTCAAGAAGCTCTATAGTTCTAGCATTTAAGTCGAAGTCTAATGTCCATCTTGAATTAATTTTTTTTTTTTTGTTTTATCCTCACCCAAGGACATTTTTGCATTTATCTCCAGATAGAGCTGGAGAGAAGCAGGGAAGAGAAAGAAAGAAACATCGGTGTGAGAGAAACATTGATGTGAGAGAGACGCATCGAGTGGCTGCCACTCACACAACCCCAACCAGGGCCGGGGACAAACTGCAACCGAGGTACATGCCCTTAGCAGGAACTGAACCCGGGACTCTCTGGTCCGCAGGGTGACACTCTAACCGCTGAGCCAAACCGGCCAGGGTGTGTGTGTGTGTGTGTGTGTGTGTGTGTGTGTGTGTGTGTTTGAAATGTGCTGTTGTTATTGCTGAACAGCTGCACAGAGAGGGTCTCGTCATTCCTACATGTGCAGTTCCCACTTGGAGGATTTTGCAGCCCTTATCACCTGGAG